TGGGTTCGGTTTGCCTTTATGTAGGTCTCAGTGCGTGTATGCGGGCGCGTCGGCACGTGAGTGGTTGCTACGCTGACTAGGCGGTGCAGACAATCGATGTCCGATGAGCCAGCTTAATGCGACGTGTTTGTGCGTATGAGAAAAAGACAAGCCCCGCGATCCGGTGGGCGACTGTGAGTTGAACAGTCAAGTATGTGGGTGACTGGGTCACTACAAGGGCAGTCAATGAATATATCGGGTGCCTTAGCTACCGAACACAATTCCGAAGATACATGGCCTTCAATGGATTCATTGAGAGGAACATATACTATTACACGTAGGCTATTCCTTTAATTCAAGCGAATAACTCTTTCATAACATATGAACGATGCTGATTGCAAGCAGCCAATACACCAGCGTCAGCTGCTAAATCTGAGCTGTTCTGACTAATTACTTTTTGTTACTGCCAGTAATCCTAAATATCATCTTCCTTTGGAGATATAGTTCACCTTAGGAACAAAACATAGGATTACACTCTTTACAACCAAGCTGTCTAAAACTACGGGAAATCCCATACGTTTTGCATTTATCACATTTAAAAATCTTTTAGCAATGCAAATTTCTTAAAGAAACAACCGCACCATAATTGTATGCTTCGCTTGAGAGGGTCAATCATAAACCGCAAATCCGCCATGTTGCCACTTTTGAATGTTCCCGCCATCTAGGTATCAACCAATCAGAATGGGGATGACGCCGCAAGTCGCGTGATCGCCCGCAACGAGAAGACGGGAAGGCGAAACTTTGAATACTCGCCCAGCATCAGTTCAAGGTCACGGGTATAAAGGATTGATACACAGGATCACGGATTCACGGATTGATACACAGGATCGAGACATTTGCCAAAGTTTCTCGCGTCGGTTTTGTTCCTGTGCTCCATCAGTTGTCGTTGCCCTAAGAAGCGCAATTGAAAAAGTGTGGAACTGCTATTTATGTTTTCAGCGCAGGGCGGCATGCTTGCCAGCCCGAGGGTTCGCGTAAATAAATGTCTAATGGTGCTTTGAACTGGGTTATAGAAGGAGCGTGGATAACCGTGGAGGATGGTTATTCCATGAGTCCACTACCCGAGGTGAGAAATAGTTTGCCCAATCAATATATGCGCTCTCAACTCGAAAATCTCCTTACCATGTTCCTGCTGTGTATTTGCTGAGTCGACGGTGAAAAATCTGTTGGCTAAGCTTTGTTCAAAAAGGACACAAGTAAGAATTGGGTCCCCTCGAATGATGATGATTCTCGATGATTCTCCAGGGGTAAGAAATCAAGCACTGCCGGACGCGCTCCATAGTCCGCATATTTGTGGCCGGCAACGATTCTCGTGGTTGTTCGTTGGACACGCTCAATGGGGGTGAGGTCTTTCGTGCATCCTGAGTAGACAACCTGGTTGGCGTACTGCGGGAGCGATCTGACGTAGTCCCCATCGAGTATTTGGAAGTCCAAGCAAGTAATGCGGGAGAAGGCCATTCGAATCGTCCGTACAACGGTGAATGCCATTTGGGCCGGGTTCTCATAACGCAGTGAGAAGGGTAAGTTTGAAGAGAGCCAGACGCCCAAATCCTTTTTGGCGCCTATCCCCATGATGTTTTCTGGTCCCTTCTCACCATGCATGACAAAGGCGTTCGCTGAGTCACCTCCAAATGACATATGGATGCACTTTTTGTCAGAGGAAGGTGCCAGTCCAACGACCACTGCTTTGCGGAGTCTTCATCTCCAGGGTTTCAAGTCGTTCGCAAAAAGTGGACATGGATTTGCAAAAACATGTGGAAGGTCGCTGACGTAGATCAGAAACAGCAGTGGTCCCAAACCGGAGCCTTGAGGAACTACGATGGAGACCGGTGCTGAGGAAGATTATGTCGAGCCTATTCTCATACGGAATGATCTGTCTGATAGGAGCGCCTTGATTCAGTGTACGATTTTCCATTGAATCCCGTAAGACTCGAGTTTGTGGAGCAGCGGGGCGTGTGGGACCCTATCAAGTGCTTTTGAGAAGTCGGAAAATATGGCATCCTATGTGAGTCCTTTATCCTTGGCTTGGGTTAAGCTATCAGTGAACACGGGCATGTTTGTCACGTAACAACGGCTTGGGAGAATTCCGTGTTGAGCTGGAAATATCAACTCGGTAAAAGCAAAGTGATCTGGGATATCTTACCTCAGAATGTGTACCATCACCTTTCACGACACGCTGGTGAGGCTTCCAGGCGATAATCAGTCACCAATTTTGTAGACTGGTTCAACAGTCTCTTGCTTACAAGCAGAGGGAAGGCGGCCTTCGTCACGCAACCGACGAAACACCAGGGTAAACGACGTTTCATTCAGGATCCTTGGATGGTGTCGTCGCGCCCAAACGAGCAGATTGGTTTGATCTTGAACAAGATTTGATGAATGTCCTCCACCATGAAGATCAAGTCGGTTGGAGGCTGTTCGTAGTTACGCTTTGACAAATCTGGATGTGACGAGGACGCCGGGGGTGAATACGGACCTGCACAGTGTAAACAGCGGATGCGGTTGTTGGGTCACGCGTAGGTTCCATGTTTATGTCCCCAAGAAGAACGCCGAGGACGTGTTTTTCCGGCGATGTCTCGTGTATTTGAACGGCATACATCTGTTTTTTTTCGGGCGAGTTCCTAAATATTGGCTTGTTTCGTTTGTTTCACTGGCAGATTTTTTATTTACAGTGATTCGGCATTTTACGAAATGCCAGCTAAACCGCGAAACCGAAATTTTAAGGTCCGGAGTTGTAGAAACTTTTTTGGATTATAGCCCACCCATAAGT